ATGGATATAGAGGGGTCCGAGTGGCCCATCTTCCAAGGTGGGTGGGTGGGGCGAGCAGTGTGGGGTGGGGCGGCATGGCTGGGGCATGCGAGGGACAGGCTCTAGGTACGCAGCTAAGGTGCAGCTGTCGCCAGAGGATACTGTGGTGGTGAAGATGGATATAGAGGGGTCCGAGTGGCCCATCTTCCAAGGTGGGTGGGTGGGTGGGTGGGGTGACCAGAGCATGTGAGAGATGCAAGTCAGGCATAGTCCCAAGCTATGGCTGACGACAGAGGACACGGTGGTGGTGAAGATGTATATAGAGGGGTCCGAGTGGCCCATGTTCCAAGGTGGGTGGGTGGGGCGAGTGGCCCGTCTTCCATGGTGGGAGGGTGGGGCGAGCAGTATGGGATGGGGCAGCCTGGCTGGAGTGTGTGTCACCCTAAACCCTAAACCCCTCCATGGCTCGCCATCATCCTCTCTCTCCATCTCCATTGCCCTTGTCTCACCCCTCTGTGCAGCCTGGTTGGTGTCCCCCCTCATGGCGCAAGTAATCGACGAGCTATTTGTGGAGGTGCATTACAACCACCCCTCCATGGCCCACTGCTTCCTCATTCCCCTCTCCATTCCCTTGCCTGCATCCCCCTGTCCTTATACTGACTGCAGCCTGGCTTAAATCCCCTCTGATGGCGCAAGTAATCAACAAGCTATTCGTGGAGGTGCATTACAACCACCCCTCCATGCACTTCTTCACCCTAATTACCCTGTCGATTCCCTGTCTTTCTGGTGTTGCGTGCAGCCAGCCTGGTTGGAGTTCCCCCTCATGGCACAAGTAATCGACGAGCTGTTCGTGGAGGTGCACTACAACCACCCCTCCATGCACTTCTTCACATGGACGCCGCGCAATTTTCCACACTCCAGGCAGCAAGCAGGCCAGCTGCTCAACGCCATGCGCAGTGTTGGATACTACGTGCATTCCTGCCCTTGATGGTGTCTTCTGATAACATGCGTGCCCCTGGTGGTATTTTTGTACAAGGTGCACTACAACCACCCCTCTATGCACTTCTTCACCTGGACGCTGCGCAATTTTCCGCTCTCCAGGCAGCAAGCAGTGTCAAAAGTACAATCTTACTTGTAGGCTATATTGGGGCACTCCTTTTGGGGTACAGCACTTCTAGGGTTATTACTTGTACCCCAACTCTTGCTAATCCAATCATTCCTGCACAGTTATTCTGACATGGTATTCAGAGCAGGAAACCTGTTAAGTTTTTAGGGCCCACCGATAGTTCCGCTCGTTCCTCCCCGAAGCGCCCTTGCGCTGTCCGGCCCTGCTCACACAGTGTCGCGCTGCCCTGCAGCCACTCGCACTGCCTGCCCCCCCACACGCCGTGCCCTGCTGCAGCCTGCGAGTCGTGCCCTGCTGCCCTGCCCAGCATGCGCCGCCCTTCCCTGCAGCCCGTGCTTCGCACTGCCCTTCCCTTAGGCCCACACGCCGCCCTGTCCTGCAGCTCGCGAGCCGCACCGCCCTGCCTTGCAGCCCAGTGCGTCCCGCCCTGCTGCCCTGCCCAGCGCGCGCCCCACGGTCCTGCGCGTCGCGCCCTGCTGCAGCCCGCACGTCGCGCCCTACTGCCCTGCGCGTTGCGCCCTGCTGCAGCCCGCGCGTCGCGCTCTGCTGCTCCGCGCGTCGCGCCCTACTGCAGCCCGCGCGTCGCGCTCTGCTGCCCCCCGCGTCGCGCTCTGCTGCCCCGCGCGTCGCGCTCTGCTGCTCCGCGCGTCGCGCCCTACTGCAGCCCGTGCACCGCGCCCTGCTGCCCTGCACAGTGCGCGCCCTACTGCCCTGTCCACAGCGCGCCCTGCCCTGCAGCCCGCGGCGCGCCCTGCCTTGCCCAGCCGCGCCGCCCAGCCCGGCCGAGCCGCACCGCCCAGCTCAAGTCGCCCTGCCCAACCCGAGCCGCGCTGCCCAACCTCGATCACCAGCCCCACCGAGCCGCCTTGCTGCTACGGACAGCGTGTGGCGATCTGTAAGTGCTCACGGACTGGCCGTCACCTTGCTACGTTCACTCGTCAGCCTGGGTCCGGCCTGTACACACTGACCACTGCGTCTGCACAGGTGGCTGAGTTAGGACAAGTGGCTGCGTCGAGTCGGGTGTCTGCGTCTGGTCAGCTTGCAGCGTCTTGCTCGTGTCGGGTACTCTCTCACCAGACTCTCCTCTGGCACCACCGCCTAGGTCGCCCCTCGCTGCCGCGTCTCCGCAGCATGCACTCCCGTCTCCTTATCTCTAGCCTTCCCATGTCCCTGCCCTCCTTCCCGTGCTCGCCTGCACCGCCGTGCCTTCCTTGCATCAAGGGGTGGCAGCGCGCCACTCCTCACTCCTCCGAGTTTCCTCCGACCACTGCTCCTCTACAGATTCTCCACATGGACGTTTGGGGCCCGGCCCCCGTCGGTGGAACGGACCATGAGCGCTACTTCTTGCTGGTTGTTGACGACTACACACGCTACACCAATGTCCTCCCTTTGCGGCGCAAGGCGGTCGTCAACAATGTTTTGATCCCCTGGATCCGTGCTACTCGTTGCCAGCTGCGCGAGCGGATTTGTCGGGACTTGCCAGTCCTTCGTCTGTACTCTGACAGGGGCGGTGAGTTCTCTTCTGGCCTCCTTGAGGAGTTCTGTCGAGACGAAGGCATCCGCCAGACGTTCACGCTTCCGGCCTCTCCTCAGCCAAATGGGATTGCTGAGCGTTGCATTGGCTTGATCATGGAGGTTGCTCGTACCTCAATGATCCATGCGGTTGCTCCCCATTTTCTGTGGCCATTTGCAGTCCGATACGCTGCGCATCAGCTCAACCTCTGGCCCCGTGTCTCTGAGCCAGAGACCTCGCCCACACTCCGGTGGATGGGGAAGGTTGGCGATGCGTCGGTGTTTTGGGTCTGGGGCGCGCTCTCCCTTGTTCGCGATGCCAAAGCGAGCAAGCTCTCCTCTCGCACTCTCCACTGCGTCTTCCTTGGCTTCCCCACCGACGCCCCGCCGTGGCAGTTCTACCACCCGCGCTCGCATCGAGTCTTCTCCTCCCAGGACGTCACCTTTGACGAGTCTGTCTGTTTCTGCAGGCTACACCCGCACGCGTCCCACCCGGTCCCCCTCGCGCCTCTCTTCTTGGTACCAGTCCCCCCCCCCCCCCCCCCTCCCCGGGTAGGCCCCCTCCCCCCACAGGGTCCTGCTCCCTCAGGTGTGTCTCTGGTAGACCCACCCCCCTTGGTTGAGCCTCTGGAGATCTCTTTTGACTCCTCTGGCCCAACTGAGGGGGGTGATCCCACCGCTGACGACACGGCGGCCGCTCGCCGCTCTCCACGCTTGGAGACCCCCCCTGGTTTTCCGCCTCAGCCATCTTCGCCACCTCCGCAGCCTGCTGCTGTGGACTCTGGAGTTGAGACTGCTGGTGCTGAGCCTGGGGGTACTGAGATAGAGGGTGAGGGTTCTGGGGGTGCTGCGCCTAGGGGTGCTGCGACTGGGGGTGCTGCGATTGGGGGTGCTGACGTTGGGGGTGTTGCAAGTCCTAGTGGCGGTGGAGCTGTGGGTGACCCTGCTTGAGGTCCTGGAGCTGGACAGCCACCGCAACCTGATCTACTTGAGACGCTCTCACCGCAGGTGATTCGTGCATGGATCGTCCGGCGAGGCAGTCCTGGTGGTGGAGGGTTCGGTCCTGCTGGTGCTGGAGCTGCTAGTCCTCGAGGTGCTGGAGGTGCTGGAGGTACTGCTAGAGGTACTAGAGGTGCTGCTGGTACTGGAGGTACTGGAGCTGCTAGTCCTGGAGGTGCTGGAGGTGCTGCTGGTGCTGGAGGTGCCAGAGCTACTGGTCCTGGAGGGGCTACTGGTGCTGGAGGTGCTGTACCTACTAGTCCTGGAGGTACAGCTGGTGCTGGAGGTGCGGGAGCTGCTGGCACTAGAGGTGTAGGTGCTACTAGAGCTGGAGGTACTGGAGGTGCTAGAGCTGCTGGTCCTGGAGGTGCTCGTACTGGAGGTGCTGGAGCTGCCGGAGCTGGTGGTGCTGCTGGTGCTAGAGGTGCTGGGGGTACTGGAGCTGCTGGCACTGGAGGTGCTGGTGCTACTGGTGCTGGAGTTGCGGGAGCTGTTGGTCCTAGAGGTGCTCGTACTAGAGGTACTGGAACTGCAACAGGGTGCTTTGCTAATTGCATAACACAAGATGGGCACGCGTAACTGCATTGCTACTCTGGCATGCCTCCACTCCTCCATGTCTGTCTGTCTGTGTCAATGCCATGCCACCACGTGTGGGTGCCATTTTTGAGGCGCCTAAAAAATCGTCTCAGTTCATGCGGTTTTTATATGGGGAATGTTTACATTGCATGGAGGTGTCCACGTAACTTTCAAAAGTTACTCGTGCGAGCGAAGGTTCCAAGGCTTATCGATAGCCCTGACGAAGACACCACGGAAGGCTGACACTTGTAACCTTGGGTTTTTACCCAGTGCTGTGTTGGCGAATGCCCATGGTTCGGCAATCTGGGTAGATGGGAACCTTGAATTCTGTTCACGGTGTAGGTTGATTACTTAGCCTATGCCTAGCTGTTGGATCTCTTTTTGTTCAGAAGCACTGATGAAGGCTTGACGGGTTCTCCCGCCTTGCCGAAACATGTTTGCGACCTGTTCTGATTGAGTGAATTCAGTTCTTGCGATCAGAGTTTTCTTAGCCTAGGGAATTTTTACTCTTTTTCTCACTTGCTAAAGCGTTTCACTAGCACTGCTGCCCTTCCACCATGAGTGACAACGCCTCAAAAGTCTGTCTCAATGCCATGCCCCCACGTGTGGGTGCCACCTTGTGTGCTTGCTTTTGAGGGCTTTCAAAAGTGACCCCAATATTGCGGGTGCTACCTTGCGGGCAGGTGGACGAGGCGAGCATGATAGAAATTGTCGCTCAGGCGGACGGACGCCCCACCCCTCTGCCATTGCCCCATGCCCCATTATCCCCCCATGTGCCATTCTCAAACGGCAGGTGGACGAGGCGAGCATGATGGGAATTCTCGCTCAGGCAGACGCTCACCCATCCCTCCGCCATGGCCCATGCCCCCCTACCCTCCCCATGCGCCCCTACTGTACCCCATGCCCCCTTACCCTCCCCCATGTGCCATTATCACAAGGGCAGGTGGACGAGGCGAGCATGATGGGAATTCTCGCTCAGGCAGACGCTCACCCATCCCTCCGCCATGGCCCATGCCCCCCTACCCTCCCCATGCGCCCCTACTGTACCCCATGCCCCCTTACCCTCCCCCATGTGCCATTATCACAAGGGCAGGTGGACGAGGCGAGCATGATGGGAATTCTCGCTCAGGCAGACGCTCACCCATCCCTCCGCCATGGCCCATGCCCCCCTACCCTCCCCATGCGCCCCTACTGTACCCCATGCCCCCTCACCCTCCCCCATGTGCCATTATCACAAGGGCAGGTGGACGAGGCGAGCATGATGGGAATTCTCGCTCAGGCAGACGCTCACCCATCCCTCCGCCATGGCCCATGCCCCCCTACCCTCCCCATGCGCCCCTACTGTACCCCATGCCCCCTTACCCTCCCCCATGTGCCATTATCACAAGGGTAGGTGGACGAGGCGAGCATGATGGGAATTCTCGCTCAGGCAGACGCTCACCCATCCCTCCGCCATGGCCCATGCCCCCCTACCCTCCCCATGCGCCCCTACTGTACCCCATGCCCCCTTACCCTCCCCCATGTGCCATTATCACAAGGGTAGGTGGACGAGGCGAGCATGATGGGAATTCTCGCTCAGGCAGGCGCTCACCCATCCCTCCGCCATGGCCCATGCCCCCCTACCCTCCCCATGCGCCCCTACTGTACCCCATGCCCCCTTACCCTCCCCCATGTGCCATTATCACAAGGGTAGGTGGACGAGGCGAGCATGATGGGAATTCTCGCTCAGGCAGACGCTCACCCATCCCTCCGCCATGGCCCATGCCCCCCTACCCTCCCCATGCGCCCCTACTGTACCCCATGCCCCCTTACCCTCCCCCATGTGCCATTATCACAAGGGTAGGTGGACGAGGCGAGCATGATGGGAATTCTCGCTCAGGCAGACGCTCACCCATCCCTCCGCCATGGCCCATGCCCCCCTACCCTCCCCATGCGCCCCTACTGTACCCCATGCCCCCTTACCCTCCCCCATGTGCCATTATCACAAGGGTAGGTGGACGAGGCGAGCATGATGGGAATTCTCGCTCAGGCAGACGCTCACCCATCCCTCCGCCATGGCCCATGCCCCCCTACCCTCCCCATGCGCCCCTACTGTACCCCATGCCCCCTTACCCTCCCCCATGTGCCATTATCACAAGGGCAGGTGGACGAGGCGAGCATGATGGGAATTCTCGCTCAGGCAGACGCTCACCCATCCCTCCGCCATGGCCCATGCCCCCCTACCCTCCCCATGCGCCCCTACTGTACCCCATGCCCCCTTACCCTCCCCCATGTGCCATTATCACAAGGGCAGGTGGACGAGGCGAGCATGATGGGAATTCTCGCTCAGGCAGACGCTCACCCATCCCTCCGCCATGGCCCATGCCCCCCTACCCTCCCCATGCGCCCCTACTGTACCCCATGCCCCCTCACCCTCCCCCATGTGCCATTATCACAAGGGCAGGTGGACGAGGCGAGCATGATGGGAATTCTCGCTCAGGCAGACGCTCACCCATCCCTCCGCCATGGCCCATGCCCCCCTACCCTCCCCATGCGCCCCTACTGTACCCCATGCCCCCTTACCCTCCCCCATGTGCCATTATCACAAGGGTAGGTGGACGAGGCGAGCATGATGGGAATTCTCGCTCAGGCAGACGCTCACCCATCCCTCCGCCATGGCCCATGCCCCCCTACCCTCCCCATGCGCCCCTACTGTACCCCATGCCCCCTTACCCTCCCCCATGTGCCATTATCACAAGGGTAGGTGGACAAGGCGAGCATGATGGGAATTCTCGCTCAGGCAGACGCTCACCCATCCCTCCGCCATGGCCCATGCCCCCCTACCCTCCCCATGCGCCCCTACTGTACCCCATGCCCCCTTACCCTCCCCCATGTGCCATTATCACAAGGGTAGGTGGACGAGGCGAGCATGATGGGAATTCTCGCTCAGGCAGACGCTCACCCATCCCTCCGCCATGGCCCATGCCCCCCTACCCTCCCCATGCGCCCCTACTGTACCCCATGCCCCCTTACCCTCCCCCATGTGCCATTATCACAAGGGTAGGTGGACGAGGCGAGCATGATGGGAATTCTCGCTCAGGCAGACGCTCACCCATCCCTCCGCCATGGCCCATGCCCCCCTACCCTCCCCATGCGCCCCTACTGTACCCCATGCCCCCTTACCCTCCCCCATGTGCCATTATCACAAGGGTAGGTGGACGAGGCGAGCATGATGGGAATTCTCGCTCAGGCAGACGCTCACCCATCCCTCCGCCATGGCCCATGCCCCCCTACCCTCCCCATGCGCCCCTACTGTACCCCATGCCCCCTTACCCTCCCCCATGTGCCATTATCACAAGGGCAGGTGGACGAGGCGAGCATGATGGGAATTCTCGCTCAGGCAGACGCTCACCCATCCCTCCGCCATGGCCCATGCCCCCCTACCCTCCCCATGCGCCCCTACTGTACCCCATGCACCCTCACCCTCCCCCATGTGCCATTATCACAAGGGCAGGTGGACGAGGCGAGCATGATGGGAATTCTCGCTCAGGCAGACGCTCACCCATCCCTCCGCCATGGCCCATGCCCCCCTACCCTCCCCATGCGCCCCTACTGTACCCCATGCCCCCTTACCCTCCCCCATGTGCCATTATCACAAGGGTAGGTGGACGAGGCGAGCATGATGGGAATTCTCGCTCAGGCAGACGCTCACCCATCCCTCCGCCATGGCCCATGCCCCCCTACCCTCCCCATGCGCCCCTACTGTACCCCATGCCCCCTTACCCTCCCCCAGGTGCCATTATCACAAGGGTAGGTGGACGAGGCGAGCATGATGGGAATTCTCGCTCAGGCAGACGCTCACCCATCCCTCCGCCATGGCCCATGCCCCCCTACCCTCCCCATGCGCCCCTACTGTACCCCATGCCCCCTTACCCTCCCCCATGTGCCATTATCACAAGGGTAGGTGGACGAGGCGAGCATGATGGGAATTCTCGCTCAGGCAGACGCTCACCCATCCCTCCGCCATGGCCCATGCCCCCCTACCCTCCCCATGCGCCCCTACTGTACCCCATGCCCCCTTACCCTCCCCCATGTGCCATTATCACAAGGGTAGGTGGACGAGGCGAGCATGATGGGAATTCTCGCTCAGGCAGACGCTCACCCATCCCTCCGCCATGGCCCATGCCCCCCTACCCTCCCCATGCGCCCCTACTGTACCCCATGCCCCCTTACCCTCCCCCATGTGCCATTATCACAAGGGTAGGTGGACGAGGCGAGCATGATGGGAATTCTCGCTCAGGCAGACGCTCACCCATCCCTCCGCCATGGCCCATGCCCCCCTACCCTCCCCATGCGCCCCTACTGTACCCCATGCCCCCTTACCCTCCCCCATGTGCCATTATCACAAGGGCAGGTGGACGAGGCGAGCATGATGGGAATTCTCGCTCAGGCAGACGCTCACCCATCCCTCCGCCATGGCCCATGCCCCCCTACCCTCCCCATGCGCCCCTACTGTACCCCATGCCCCCTTACCCTCCCCCATGTGCCATTATCACAAGGGTAGGTGGACGAGGCGAGCATGATGGGAATTCTCGCTCAGGCAGACGCTCACCCATCCCTCCGCCATGGCCCATGCCCCCCTACCCTCCCCATGCGCCCCTACTGTACCCCATGCCCCCTCACCCTCCCCCATGTGCCATTATCACAAGGGCAGGTGGACGAGGCGAGCATGATGGGAATTCTCGCTCAGGCAGACGCTCACCCATCCCTCCGCCATGGCCCATGCCCCCCTACCCTCCCCATGCGCCCCTACTGTACCCCATGCCCCCTTACCCTCCCCCATGTGCCATTATCACAAGGGTAGGTGGACGAGGCGAGCATGATGGGAATTCTCGCTCAGGCAGACGCTCACCCATCCCTCCGCCATGGCCCATGCCCCCCTACCCTCCCCATGCGCCCCTACTGTACCCCATGCCCCCTTACCCTCCCCCATGCGCCATTATCACAAGGGTAGGTGGACGAGGCGAGCATGATGGGAATTCTCGCTCAGGCAGACGCTCACCCATCCCTCCGCCATGGCCCATGCCCCCCTACCCTCCCCATGCGCCCCTACTGTACCCCATGCCCCCTTACCCTCCCCCATGTGCCATTATCACAAGGGTAGGTGGACGAGGCGAGCATGATGGGAATTCTCGCTCAGGCAGACGCTCACCCATCCCTCCGCCATGGCCCATGCCCCCCTACCCTCCCCATGCGCCCCTACTGTACCCCATGCCCCCTTACCCTCCCCCATGTGCCATTATCACAAGGGTAGGTGGACGAGGCGAGCATGATGGGAATTCTCGCTCAGGCAGACGCTCACCCATCCCTCCGCCATGGCCCATGCCCCCCTACCCTCCCCATGCGCCCCTACTGTACCCCATGCCCCCTTACCCTCCCCCATGTGCCATTATCACAAGGGTAGGTGGACGAGGCGAGCATGATGGGAATTCTCGCTCAGGCAGACGCTCACCCATCCCTCCGCCATGGCCCATGCCCCCCTACCCTCCCCATGCGCCCCTACTGTACCCCATGCCCCCTTACCCTCCCCCATGTGCCATTATCACAAGGGTAGGTGGACGAGGCGAGCATGATGGGAATTCTCGCTCAGGCAGACGCTCACCCATCCCTCCGCCATGGCCCATGCCCCCCTACCCTCCCCATGCGCCCCTACTGTACCCCATGCCCCCTTACCCTCCCCCATGTGCCATTATCACAAGGGTAGGTGGACGAGGCGAGCATGATGGGAATTCTCGCTCAGGCAGACGCTCACCCATCCCTCCGCCATGGCCCATGCCCCCCTACCCTCCCCATGCGCCCCTACTGTACCCCATGCCCCCTTACCCTCCCCCATGTGCCATTATCACAAGGGTAGGTGGACGAGGCGAGCATGATGGGAATTCTCGCTCAGGCAGACGCTCACCCATCCCTCCGCCATGGCCCATGCCCCCCTACCCTCCCCATGCGCCCCTACTGTACCCCATGCCCCCTTACCCTCCCCCATGTGCCATTATCACAAGGGTAGGTGGACGAGGCGAGCATGATGGGAATTCTCGCTCAGGCAGACGCTCACCCATCCCTCCGCCATGGCCCATGCCCCCCTACCCTCCCCATGCGCCCCTACTGTACCCCATGCCCCCTTACCCTCCCCCATGTGCCATTATCACAAGGGTAGGTGGACGAGGCGAGCATGATGGGAATTCTCGCTCAGGCAGACGCTCACCCATCCCTCCGCCATGGCCCATGCCCCCCTACCCTCCCCATGCGCCCCTACTGTACCCCATGCCCCCTTACCCTCCCCCATGTGCCATTATCACAAGGGTAGGTGGACGAGGCGAGCATGATGGGAATTCTCGCTCAGGCAGACGCTCACCCATCCCTCCGCCATGGCCCATGCCCCCCTACCCTCCCCATGCGCCCCTACTGTACCCCATGCCCCCTTACCCTCCCCCATGTGCCATTATCACAAGGGTAGGTGGACGAGGCGAGCATGATGGGAATTCTCGCTCAGGCAGACGCTCACCCATCCCTCCGCCATGGCCCATGCCCCCCTACCCTCCCCATGCGCCCCTACTGTACCCCATGCCCCCTTACCCTCCCCCATGTGCCATTATCACAAGGGTAGGTGGACGAGGCGAGCATGATGGGAATTCTCGCTCAGGCAGACGCTCACCCATCCCTCCGCCATGGCCCATGCCCCCCTACCCTCCCCATGCGCCCCTACTGTACCCCATGCCCCCTTACCCTCCCCCATGTGCCATTATCACAAGGGCAGGTGGACGAGGCGAGCATGATGGGAATTCTCGCTCAGGCAGACGCTCACCCATCCCTCCGCCATGGCCCATGCCCCCCTACCCTCCCCATGCGCCCCTACTGTACCCCATGCCCCCTTACCCTCCCCCATGTGCCATTATCACAAGGGTAGGTGGACGAGGCGAGCATGATGGGAATTCTCGCTCAGGCAGACGCTCACCCATCCCTCCGCCATGGCCCATGCCCCCCTACCCTCCCCATGCGCCCCTACTGTACCCCATGCCCCCTTACCCTCCCCCATGTGCCATTATCACAAGGGTAGGTGGACGAGGCGAGCATGATGGGAATTCTCGCTCAGGCAGACGCTCACCCATCCCTCCGCCATGGCCCATGCCCCCCTACCCTCCCCATGCGCCCCTACTGTACCCCATGCCCCCTTACCCTCCCCCATGTGCCATTATCACAAGGGCAGGTGGACGAGGCGAGCATGATGGGAATTCTCGCTCAGGCAGACGCTCACCCATCCCTCCGCCATGGCCCATGCCCCCCTACCCTCCCCATGCGCCCCTACTGTACCCCATGCCCCCTTACCCTCCCCCATGTGCCATTATCACAAGGGTAGGTGGACGAGGCGAGCATGATGGGAATTCTCGCTCAGGCAGACGCTCACCCATCCCTCCGCCATGGCCCATGCCCCCCTACCCTCCCCATGCGCCCCTACTGTACCCCATGCCCCCTCACCCTCCCCCATGTGCCATTATCACAAGGGCAGGTGGACGAGGCGAGCATGATGGGAATTCTCGCTCAGGCAGACGCTCACCCATCCCTCCGCCATGGCCCATGCCCCCCTACCCTCCCCATGCGCCCCTACTGTACCCCATGCCCCCTTACCCTCCCCCATGTGCCATTATCACAAGGGTAGGTGGACGAGGCGAGCATGATGGGAATTCTCGCTCAGGCAGACGCTCACCCATCCCTCCGCCATGGCCCATGCCCCCCTACCCTCCCCATGCGCCCCTACTGTACCCCATGCCCCCTTACCCTCCCCCATGTGCCATTATCACAAGGGTAGGTGGACGAGGCGAGCATGATGGGAATTCTCGCTCAGGCAGACGCTCACCCATCCCTCCGCCATGGCCCATGCCCCCCTACCCTCCCCATGCGCCCCTACTGTACCCCATGCCCCCTTACCCTCCCCCATGTGCCATTATCACAAGGGTAGGTGGACGAGGCGAGCATGATGGGAATTCTCGCTCAGGCAGACGCTCACCCATCCCTCCGCCATGGCCCATGCCCCCCTACCCTCCCCATGCGCCCCTACTGTACCCCATGCCCCCTTACCCTCCCCCATGTGCCATTATCACAAGGGTAGGTGGACGAGGCGAGCATGATGGGAATTCTCGCTCAGGCAGACGCTCACCCATCCCTCCGCCATGGCCCATGCCCCCCTACCCTCCCCATGCGCCCCTACTGTACCCCATGCCCCCTTACCCTCCCCCATGTGCCATTATCACAAGGGTAGGTGGACGAGGCGAGCATGATGGGAATTCTCGCTCAGGCAGACGCTCACCCATCCCTCCGCCATGGCCCATGCCCCCCTACCCTCCCCATGCGCCCCTACTGTACCCCATGCCCCCTTACCCTCCCCCATGTGCCATTATCACAAGGGTAGGTGGACGAGGCGAGCATGATGGGAATTCTCGCTCAGGCAGACGCTCACCCATCCCTCCGCCATGGCCCATGCCCCCCTACCCTCCCCATGCGCCCCTACTGTACCCCATGCCCCCTTACCCTCCCCCATGTGCCATTATCACAAGGGTAGGTGGACGAGGCGAGCATGATGGGAATTCTCGCTCAGGCAGACGCTCACCCATCCCTCCGCCATGGCCCATGCCCCCCTACCCTCCCCATGCGCCCCTACTGTACCCCATGCCCCCTTACCCTCCCCCATGTGCCATTATCACAAGGGTAGGTGGACGAGGCGAGCATGATGGGAATTCTCGCTCAGGCAGACGCTCACCCATCCCTCCGCCATGGCCCATGCCCCCCTACCCTCCCCATGCGCCCCTACTGTACCCCATGCCCCCTTACCCTCCCCCATGTGCCATTATCACAAGGGTAGGTGGACGAGGCGAGCATGATGGGAATTCTCGCTCAGGCAGACGCTCACCCATCCCTCCGCCATGGCCCATGCCCCCCTACCCTCCCCATGCGCCCCTACTGTACCCCATGCCCCCTTACCCTCCCCCATGTGCCATTATCACAAGGGTAGGTGGACGAGGCGAGCATGATGGGAATTCTCGCTCAGGCAGACGCTCACCCATCCCTCCGCCATGGCCCATGCCCCCCTACCCTCCCCATGCGCCCCTACTGTACCCCATGCCCCCTTACCCTCCCCCATGTGCCATTATCACAAGGGTAGGTGGACAAGGCGAGCATGATGGGAATTCTCGCTCAGGCAGACGCTCACCCATCCCTCCGCCATGGCCCATGCCCCCCTACCCTCCCCATGCGCCCCTACTGTACCCCATGCCCCCTTACCCTCCCCCATGTGCCATTATCACAAGGGTAGGTGGACGAGGCGAGCATGATGGGAATTCTCGCTCAGGCAGACGCTCACCCATCCCTCCGCCATGGCCCATGCCCCCCTACCCTCCCCATGCGCCCCTACTGTACCCCATGCCCCCTTACCCTCCCCCATGTGCCATTATCACAAGGGTAGGTGGACGAGGCGAGCATGATGGGAATTCTCGCTCAGGCAGACGCTCACCCATCCCTCCGCCATGGCCCATGCCCCCCTACCCTCCCCATGCGCCCCTACTGTACCCCATGCCCCCTTACCCTCCCCCATGTGCCATTATCACAAGGGTAGGTGGACGAGGCGAGCATGATGGGAATTCTCGCTCAGGCAGACGCTCACCCATCCCTCCGCCATGGCCCATGCCCCCCTACCCTCCCCATGCGCCCCTACTGTACCCCATGCCCCCTTACCCTCCCCCATGTGCCATTATCACAAGGGTAGGTGGACGAGGCGAGCATGATGGGAATTCTCGCTCAGGCAGACGCTCACCCATCCCTCCGCCATGGCCCATGCCCCCCTACCCTCCCCATGCGCCCCTACTGTACCCCATGCCCCCTTACCCTCCCCCATGTGCCATTATCACAAGGGTAGGTGGACGAGGCGAGCATGATGGGAATTCTCGCTCAGGCAGACGCTCACCCATCCCTCCGCCATGGCCCATGCCCCCCTACCCTCCCCATGCGCCCCTACTGTACCCCATGCCCCCTTACCCTCCCCCATGTGCCATTATCACAAGGGTAGGTGGACGAGGCGAGCATGATGGGAATTCTCGCTCAGGCAGACGCTCACCCATCCCTCCGCCATGGCCCATGCCCCCCTACCCTCCCCATGCGCCCCTACTGTACCCCATGCCCCCTTACCCTCCCCCATGTGCCATTATCACAAGGGTAGGTGGACGAGGCGAGCATGATGGGAATTCTCGCTCAGGCGGACGCCCCACCCGCTGTCAGAGCAGCCGCTGCTGCTGCTGAAGCGCACATGCACAGGGGCGCTGGGGGAGGGAGACGAGGACATGGGGGAGGGGGGGAGGATTGGGTGGGGGGCAGGGGGGGCGGGGAAGGAGGAGGGGGGGAGGGGGAGGAAGGGGAGGAAGGGGCGGAGGAGATGAGTTTGGACGATTTGGTGGCCGGGCTGGCGGAGGAGCTGGAGAGAGAGATGGGGGGCGGTGGGGGGCATGTGGGGGGGCATGAGAATCATGGGGGGAAGCAGGGGGGTGCTGGCAGTGGGGGAGGAGAGTGGAGTGGGGAAGAATGGGGAAATGGGGGAGGTGGAATGGCGGATGAGATGGAGAGAGGGACGGGGGATGGTGCAGCGGATGCAAGAAGCTGATGAGGAGATGAGTTTGGATGATCTGGTAGCTGGGTTGGCGGAGAGAGATGGGTGGCGGTGGCGGATGGTGATTCTAATGTGCGCAGACATGAGAATTATGGTGGGGGACATAGCGATGCAGGCAGTGGGGGAGGAGGAGGAGATGAGTCTGGATGATCTGGTAGCAGGGCTGGCGGAGGGACTGGAGAGAGGGATGGGGGGCGGTGGTGGGCTTGGGGGGGGACCACGGGGATGCAGGCAGTGGGGGCGGAGGGGGGGAAGATGGGGAGTTGAACGGAGGGAGAGGTAGGGGAATTGGACATGGGCGATTGGTAGATGAGATTGAGAGACGGATGGGTGCGGCGGATGCAAGAAATGGGGGAGATGGGGAGGGAGGGAGAGACGCAGTAGGTAGGGCTGATGGTGGGGATGTATGGGGCATGGTTGTAGCGAGGGAATGATGGGTGGGTGGAGGAGGGAGAGGAGAGAGAGGAGAGAGAGGAGGTAGAGGAGGGAGAGGAGGAAGGAAGACAAGTGATCTGGCAATTTGGAATGATATGCCAAGGCACTGAAAGGGTGGGGAGGGTGGGGACTGTGAGGAGGGTTGATGAGGGATAACAGGGGGGAGTGGTAGCACAGGGATGGTGCGGGATGGGGTGGTGGCGTGGGAAGGGGCGGCGGCTGAGGCTTGGCACAAGGGGGTCTGTGGTTGGGTAGGGCAAGGTGGGTGGGTGGGTGGGGGCGGTGGGGCAGTTGGAGCGGTGGGGATGAAGAAGGCGAAAATAGTGTAGCGTGTGATCGTGGTTGAATGCGCCTTTTGAGGCGCCTCGAAAGCCATTCGACAGACCTAGTGATTGTTGTGGGAAGCATGAGTGGTGGGGATTAGTGGGCGGAGCGTGGGAGCTGTTGGCTGCACTGGCAGTCAGGCAACTGAAGTAAGTAGACGAGGGGGGATCTATGTTCCATCCGCCTTCCCCCCTCCCTCCCCCCTCCCTCCCTTCCCCTCCCCCCCCTCCCCCCAACAGAATGATGTTCCCCTTTCCACTTGTTACTGCCTCTCCAGTTCTGGCATGAATCCTTCACTTTATGTGCCATTTGTTTGCCCTCTTCCATTCTTCATTGCTCCCGTTGCTGCGCACCTTTCCCTCCTCCCTTTGGCCTGCCAGCATAATCCACTGCACTTCTCGCCTGTATAAACACCATTCTTCCCCTCACCTTCTTCCCACTTCACCTCACTCGACCGTACTTCCCATCCCATTGCTCTTCCCTTTGCATCGCCACAGACAGTGCGATGCATCCCATGCATTTCTAAGTCCAAGTTGGCTGTCTGAGCATCACAGGGTTTCCTTCCCTATGCGCAACGTAAGTTATGCAAGTTCCTTTCCAGTCTAGTGTGTTTATGTGGTGTAGATCCAATGCAGCTGTTAGTGGTACCTTGTACAAACATCCCAATGGAAACGCAACACGCTAGTATAAAGAAGCAAACTCGAACTAAAATTGAACCTTACATTATTAACATCTGCTGCCACTGAGATACATCGTTGCTTCAAGACAGTAACACTGCAACATGCACATCATGAGATATTTACATGCCCAACCACTACACCATTGGGATAAAATGGATTGTTAAGTAGCGGATCAGTGCGCTCATAACCCCCCAGGACAACGAGCTTGTAACCCTTCCCTAGGATCAATCGAGGATCACCAGTAGACCTCTGACACCCCTTCGCACTGGGATGCCCGAAGTGCACACACTGGGATTCAAACCCGAGACCTTCGCTCTGATACCATGTTAGAATCCCAACAACTTAGACCATTGGGATAAAAGGGCTTGTTAAGTAGCGGGTCAGTGCGCCCATAACCGGACAACGAGCCTGTAACCCTTCCCTAGGATCAATCGGGGATCACCAGTGGACCTCTGACATGTACCTCTCTGCTTCCAGCACAGCATTGCAACTTGACGCTTGCCACTTCAACAGGCTACGTGTGTGCACCACGGCTGTAATGAGCGCACTGATCCGCTACTCCACCGCACTCATAGCCCCCCAGGACAACACAGTGCTGCACTCCACCGCACCCCACTGCTCTGCATCAACTGCTGGTATGGCTGCACACACGATGCTTCCACTAACTGCCCCTGCAGCACCATGTGCCATGTGCCACGTGCCACATACCCCATAATACAGGCTTCCGTTGCGGTCGCACAGACAGTACAATTCGAGATGAGCCACTTCTGCAGGTCCACAATGCAGTGCAATCACTCCTCACCTCACCCCTCGTTATAGCCACACACACTCAATCGCACTAGTCACTCCCATACACATACCCAGTAATACAGGCTTACGTTGCGGTTGCGCAGACAGTACGTTTCGAGATGCGCCACTTCTGCAGGTCCTTGGAGTAGTGCAGTCACTCCTCACCCCTCGTTAAAGCCTCACACACAATCGCACTCCGTCACGCCATACCCGGTAATAGAGCGTCTCGTTTCTGTCGTGTAGACGGTTCAGGAGCGTCTCGTTTCCGCCACTTCCTACAGGTCCACACGGTCGCTCGGCGTGCTAGTGGGGCAGAGGTCCCACCACACACCCTCCTCACTGCTCGTTCACCACCACGAGGGCAAGGGAATCTCTTCTCTCACCCGGTAATACAGAGTCTCGTTTCTGTTGTGCAGTGCAGGCGGATCAGGATGCGCCACTTGTGCAGGTCCAAGGGGTCGTCGGATGACCTGGGCTTGCGGTCAATCGCTTCGTACTGCCGCACTTGGGGAGGTGGGGAGAGGAATGGGCAAGGAGCGTAGGACGTGGGAAAGACAGAAAACGGTTTCTGAGGAACCTCGGTTTCTGACCTATGCTTGCGGTCAATCGCCTCATGCTGCCGCACTGGGGAGGGGTTGGAACGAGTGAAAGTGGAACGCAGACAAGGTCGTGGAGTGACTGCCGGTTCACCTCTTGGTTTTCACTTTGCAATATTCTCTGGCTAGAATGTATGCTGACATGTTTCAGCACTTACAATCTGGATTCGGCAACTAAATTTCCACTCAAAAAATGGACATGACATTGCAAAACAGAACAAACAATATATAAGCAAAAAGATTCAGCAATGTGGGACGTGTAACGCGTCCAGCGCGTCTCATATCGCGTCGCACGCGAAACTGTATGGGTAACCAAAACTTACACCAAACAAGCCGAAGTAACGTCAAATGCGGTGCATTGCGGTTGGCCCATTTCCAGCAGCGAAGGTCCTCGACCTTCGCTGCAAATTGCAACTACGCAATGTACTCGTTTTCTCTTTCTTCTCCAGATTCTCCCGCACTCGCTGCCTTAGCTCCTCCGTTTGGCACCATTTGTGGGTCGTAGTTCGGACCATTAGGTCTTGACCATGGAGTCGTTCGGCGATCCGCATGCTAGCTGGCCATCGTTCGGCGCTCGCGTGGAAGCCTTCGTTCGGCGCTCGCGTGGCATCCGCAAACCACCCTAATAACCTCCCCTGTGGTTTGGGGTTGCCACTCTTCAGCATTATTACTTAGGTTATTGTGTAACCAACAGCCCTCAATATCTCAACCATGTGTGTGCACTGCTACCCACTGCTCCCCTGCAGGTCTCGCAAGGTACGGATACCCACGAGTGACTTGCAATGCTCAAAGTTCGCTTTGGGCAGAACTTTGGTGAGAGAGTAAGCTACTTTCTCCCCCCTCTCTACATCTATTTTTTGCTCGCCTTCACATGACTTTGAAGCTCAGACTTCGTGAGATGGCCAACCGTGCTCAATTTGCCGCCGCCAGTGCCTCAGGGCGGAGTACCGTTAATGATGCTGATTCAAAACATTTGTTTGAAGTTCGCATCACCAGCCATAAATTGAGGGATGCTTGTTATGGGGTTAAGAAAAACGTTAAGTTAGAAAGGGTATTTGAACTGTTCGAAGGAGTCCATGCTCCACGTGGGTCTATTAAGTATACATTAGACGGCAAGCAAGTTCAAGGAAGAAACCTAGTTGCAACCTCCATGATTTTGAAAGCACACACGTTCCAAGTAGGAGGTTACTTATCATAACTGGAATTCGATATTAAAATATTGTGATCATGATAAGTACCTTCTACTTGGAACGTGTGTGCTTTCAAAATCAAAGAGGTTCAACTTGTCAGAATATCATGTTTCTCTAGTCTGCAGTGGGGTACTCCATAGTGAGTACAACCCTGTTAGGGTTTCCTATATGCACTCAATTGCTTTCTAGTGAATCCATCCATTCTCGATTCTCACATGGTATAGAGCTGTTTTTCGATCCTTGGGCCCACCACTAATTTTTTTTTTCCTACCCGAGGCGCGCGTCGCGCCTGCCCTTAACGGCCCTTAGCGGCCCCTCGTAAGGCCCTTCGCGGCCCCTCGTTAGGCCCCTTCGCGGCCCCTCGTTAGGCCCCTTCGCGGCCCCTCGTTAGGCCCCTTCGCGACCCCTCTTAAGGCCCTTCGTGGCCCCTCGTTAGGCCCCTTCGCGGCCCCTCGTAAGGCCCTTCGCGGCCCCTAGTTAGGCCCCTTCGCGGCCCCTCGTCAGGCCCCTTTGCGGCCCCTCGTACGGCCCCTTCGCGGCCCCTCGTTAGGCCCCTTCGCGGCCCCCCCGTAAGGCCCCGTAAGGCCCCGTCAGGCCCCGTTTACGGCCCCGTAAGGCCCCGTAAGGCCCCGTTTACGGCCCCGTTTAAGGCCCCGTAAGGCCCCGTCAGGCCCCGTAAGGCCCCGTAAGGCCCCGTCAGGCCCCGTCAGGCCCCGTTTGCGGCCCCGTCAGGCCCCGTAAGGCCCTGTCAGGCCCCGTTAGTGGCCCCGTCAGGCCCCGTCAGGCCCCGTTAGCGGCCCCATCAGGCCCCGTAAGGCCCCGTCCGGCCCCGTCAGGCCCCGCCCCGACCCTGTCGCGGCCCTGCTCCGACCCTGCCCCGGCCCTGCCCCGGCTCTGCCCCGGCCCTGTCTCGGCCCTGCTCCTACCCTGCCCAGGCCCTGCCCCGGCCCTGCCCCGGCCCTGCCCCGGCCCTGCCCCCTGCCCCGGCTCTGCTCCGACCCTGCTTCGGCCCTGCGCCGGCCCTGCTGCGGCCCTGTCGCAGCTCTGCCCAGGCCCCGCCCCACTCATGCCTGCACCGGCGCACCGGGGGCCCGCGCACTGCCCCCCCCCCCCCTTTCCCGTCGCCTTACGTGGCGACCTGGGGGGGGGGGCCGCACGTTGCCCCCCCCCCCCCCCCCCCCCCCCCCCCCCCCTCTGTTGCCCGTCACGGCGCCCTGGAGGGGGGCCCTCCGTCTTCATCGCAGCTGCCCTGCCCCGGCCCTGTTGCGGCCCTGCCTCCCCCCCCCCCCCCCCCCGCTCGCCACGCAAGGCGACGGGAGGGGCGACCTGGGGGGGGCGCGCGTCGCCCCTTCTTCCGCCTGTTCTGGCGCCCTGGGAGGCTGCGCGTCGGCCCCCGTACTCTTCCCCCCCCGCCCCCCCCCCCCCTCCTCAAGTCGCCTCAACAGGCGACTGGAGGGGTGACCTGGGGGGGGCCGCGCGTCGGAGCGGCCGCCCCTGGTGCAGCCGCCCCTGGAGCAGCCACCCCTTGCCCCTGGAGCAGCCGCCCCTGGCCCCTGGAGCAGCCGCCCCTGGAGCAGCCACCCCTTGCCCCTGGAGCAGCCGCCCCTGGCCCCTGGAGCAGCCGCCCCTGGTGCAGCCGCCCCTGGACCTCAGCAGCCGCCCCTGGCCCCTGGAGCAGCCGCCCCTGGACCCGGTGCCGCCGCCTCCCTGTGCTGCCCATTGCCGCCCGTTGATGCCCGTTGCTGCTCTC